AGGGGAGGTGCTGGGTCCCCATGAGGAAGGACCCCAATATATTGCAAATATTTATACTGTTAACCTTACTCCCAGCTTCCTCCCAGAAGGGATCTGTGGCTTTTTCCCAGGGTAACTGTACCGTGGAGAAATGGAAATAACCAGACTTTGCAGGGACAGCTGGACGCTGGCTCTGAACTGATACTAATTCCAGGAGACCCAGAACATCTCTGTGGCCATCCGTTGGAGAAGGGGCTTGTGGAGGTCAGGTGATGAATAGAGTTTTAGCTCAGGTCCCACTCACAGTGGGCCCAGTGGGCTCCCAAACCCATCCTGTGGTGTTTTCCCCAGTTCTGGATACATAATTGGAACAGATACAATCAGCAGCAGGCAGATTCCCCATGTTCTTCCTCTGACCTGTGGAGTGATGACTATTATGGTGGGAAAGGCCAAATAGCCAGTAGAACTGCCTCTACCCAGGAAAATAGAAACCAAAAGCAATACTGCCTTCCTGGAGAGGTTGCAGAGATAAATGCCACCATCGAGGACTTGAAAGATGCAAAGTTAGTGATTCCTACCACATCCCCATTCAACTGGTACAGCTGCTGTACCAGATGTGGTTTCATTGCTTGAGCAATTCACACCCCCTGGCACCTGGTATGCAGCTGTTGATCTGACAAATGCTTTTTTTCTCCGTACCTGTCAGTGAGGACCACCATAGGCAGCTTTCTTTCAGCTAGCAAGGCCAGCAGTGCACCTCAGTGTCCTCTACCTCAGAGGTCTATCAGCTCTCCTGCCGTACATCGTAATTTAATTTACAGGGATCTTGATCGTCATCCTCTTCCACAGGATATCGAACTGGTCCAGGAGAGCCAATGATATAGTTCCAGTTACTACTGATACCTACTGATGGTAAATGCCAACACTGCTAAATACGAGTGTTTATCTCAGTTATTCCTCCCAACAACCCTAGGAGGAATGGAGGTTGAATTCAGGGCTGTGTCGTGTAAATACGAGTGTTTATCTCATTTATTCCTCCCAACAACCCTTGGAGGAATGGAGGTTGAATTCAGGGCTGTGTCGTGTGCTTACACGTGCCTTGAAGCACTACTCACATGATCTGCAGTATGAATGGCTTTTCATTCAGATGTGCAGTGCTGTAGCCCTAGTTATGATTACCATTTACAGAAAAGGAAACCAAGGCATGAACAAATGAAGTAACTTGCCTGTGGATACACAGCTAGGAAGAAGAGCTTAAATTTGAACCCAGGCAGCCTAAGATTGGCTCTAGTAATCTCTACAGTAAAGCTGCAGCCTTTTCCTTTCAGGTCATATAAATTCAAATATGCATCCTCCACATGAAGTAGATAAAGGGGGTGAGGGGAATCATTTTAAAAGTACAGAATGATTGCGAGATGGAAAATTTTAATTGTTGTTTGCCTCACTCTGTCTCAGTTTCTGGGTATTTTTCATAATTGACCCATCTTACTATACTGAGTATGAATGGTAAACAATTACATATTTCACGTCGTCTGACCCTAAATGCTTGTCAGCTTCTTTATCTGGTATTCAAGAAGATAAACAGTAATCTGTTCCACCACTGGAGGAAGACCAGCTGTGTTGGACTTATTTTTTTTAAAGATTCTATTTATTTGACAGAGAAGAAGAGAGCACAAGCAGGGGGAGCTGCAGAGAGAGAGGGAGAAGCAGGTGCCCCACTGAGCAGGGAGCCCAATGTGGGGCTCGATCCCAGGACCCTGGGATCATGACCTGAGCCAAAGGCAGACGCTTAACGGACTGAGCCACCCAGGCGTCCCTGGGTTGGACTTTTTAAGAGACAGTAGGTCAATCTCTGATAAGGTACTTATCTAAGGTATTTTCTAGGGTAATTTAAAACTATGCCCAGGGGTGCCTGGGTGGCTCAGTCGTTAAGCGTCTGCCTTAGGCTCAGGTCATGATCCCAGGGTCCTGGGATTGAGCCCCACATCAGGTGCCCTGGTCAGAGGGGAGCCTGCTCCTCCCTCTCCCACTCCCCCTGCTTGTGTTCCCTCTCTTGCTGTGTCTGTCTCTGTCAAATAAATAAAATCTTTAAAAAAATAAAATAAAACTATGCCCAATTTTTATCCACCATGCTGACTTTATTTTTTTTCCTCAAAGATTGATTTATTCGAGAAAGGAAGAGAGAGCAAGTGTGTGTGAGTGGGAGGCGGGGCAGAGGAGAGGGAGAGAAGCAGACTCCCCACTGAGCTCAGGGCCCAACGCAGAGCTCGATCTCATGACCTATGAGATCATGACCTGCGTGGAAACCAAGAGTCAGACACTGCACCGACTGAGCCCCCAGGGCCCCGCCATGCTGACTTTAGAAACCAAGTGGGTTAGCTCTGACATCACAGCACTGAGTCTTCATTAGAAGCACATTAGGAACATGGCCGCGGTAGTAGCAGCATAGTTAACTCAAGGAAAGGAAATCTGAGTTAAGGGTTTTATAAGCAGCAAAACTGACTTATGAGTACAAGGGTACAAACTTACCAATATGCAAGAATTCAGGACACACTTTTCCCATGGTCCCTTTCTGAGGAATCTACTGGAAAACAGGACGTTAGACAGCTAAAATATGAAGTACTGACATAAGGAGTAGGGGAAAGCATGAAATATGTGGCTACCTGTAGAACGAGGTAGTAAGAGGGAAGAATACAGTATGTAACAACTATAAGCTCGACAGTATAGAGTACAGCCATTTGAAAAACGGGGGAAGAACAGGAAAAGCATATGTAAAAAAGTTTTAATGTTTTTAGTGATCATATTGTGGCAGAACTCGTATTGTTATTCGGAGACTTTTGTATGTGTACTACGGGTAAAGTAGATGAGTAGTTACGAGATACTCTAATTGTAGTATCTTGCCTGTCCCTGAGAACCAAGATTCTTGGTATAGAAGACAAGGGTGATAGAGAAGAAGCCGTCATCTTGAATTTATACCGGAAGTATCAATTGTCCAGAAGTGCAAATGGTCTGAGATTTTACCCTGCCCACAAGCTAACAAGTTAGCGTGCCACAGATTCATGGGTCAGAGGTGGAGGACAGTTTATTCCTCATAGAAACAGTAACCAGAATATCAGCATTTTTCTGCTGGTTGCATGAGCCCCAGGTCCTACAAGGCAACTCAAAGGCCAGACGATACCTGCCTATGCAGTAGGTTTCATTATATGAGAGGAACTCTGAGCTTAGGGATCTTGAATTTTTATTTTTTAAGATGTGTTTATTTTAAAGAAAGAGAGCACGTGAGTGGGGGAGGGGCAAAAAAATTGAACTATTATTTCTCTCTGAAAGGAACCAAGACTTCTTGGAGAGATCACTGATTTCAGGTCTGGGGCAAGAAAAGTTCAGGATAATCCTGGAATATTTTGTTATACCGTAACAAGAGGCGTGTCAAAAAGAACTCAGAAATTAACTTGAAGAGGCGCCTGCTGTAGCCAAAGATGGATAAGTTGAGCTTCAATCATAATAATTGCAGTTGGTTTAAACATGCTAGATGTATTCAAATCTTTGAATTTATAATGATATTTTAAAAATAATTAGTCATCTTCAGATGATTAAATAACCCTAATTCATTATATTATAAAATACGTATATTGGTAAAACGGGTAAAGGAACAGAATCAAACATTTATCCTGCCTTTCCTGTGTAACTCTAGCACAGGGTAATCAACTAGTAGACAAGGGGAAATGTCTCTTTATAAATGTATTTTAGCTAATAATACGTGACAAAGAAATTACAGAATTAGACTATTACTATTTTATAACCCATGATACATTAAACATCAAAGACTGCCAAGACTATAAAAAGAAAGAAAACAGTCATTATGTGCCTCCTGTAGTCTTGCCAAGGAGCTCAAGCTGGTGTCTGATCCAGTCTCTGGATCCATCTGCCAAATCGTAGCCAGTACAGAGGGCAGAAGAACAGGTTCAATTAATTGCACCAGGAGTATGCAGTCAGCAAATTCATACTGTGGGAAATTTTACAGGTCAACATCCATGTTCCTCAAGAGATGATTTGCAGGCAACAAAAGAAATGGGTGATGAACGTAAAGATAAAGAGATTTAAAAGACATCAGACTTTAGGGGGCACCTGGCTGACTCAGTTGGAAGTTCATGTGACTTTTGATATTGGGGTCATGAGTTCGAGCCCCACATTGGATGTAGAGATTACTTAAAATAAATAAGTAAATAAACTTAAAAAAAGAGGACGTCAAACTTTTTTAAATGGACAAAACTAAACTGTAGCAGATTTAGGTAATAAAAGGAATAAAAGGATCATAGTTACTTGTGAGAAAGGGAGAGGATTATAACTGGGAAGGGGCATATGGGAGAGCTTTTGGGTGACTGGCAAAGTTCTTTTTCTTGATCTTGTGGTCATTAAACCATTTGATTCATGTGGGTTTTTTTATGTCTGTATGTTATTTTATAATAAAACGTTTTTTAAAAAAATATGTCCAATAAGAAGAGACTAGCCTAGGCATTAAGATTTTGGGGGGCTTATCTTCACACTCCACAGATAAGCAAGAGTAAATTTCAATAGATTCTTGAAAACTTGGGAGGACTTACAGAGTTATCCATCATTATTAACTTGTTACATTATTGAGCATTCTTTTATATAGGCACCATATCAGCCTAAGATTACAGAGGGCAGTTCAATACAGAAACTGTTCCAGTATTTTTCTTCTAGTAGTTTTTTTTATTAAAAAAAAAAAAATTTGTTTACAGAAAATTTAGAAACAAAAAAAGTATAAAAAATAAAACAAAAAATACACTGTTATTCTGTTCCCCAGAGATAAGCATAAATAATGTTTTGGTATATTTCCTTTTATATATGAATATATTGACATTGGGAAAATACAGTTTTGTGCCTACTTTATGTTCTCATCTTTGGCTCTATACTTGCATTCAGGCCTGAGATTAAAGGTATTTAAAATCCAGATCCCTTTCAAATTAGTTCATTAACATTTTAGGATTTTATGTTCCTAGGTGGGCTGCATCACGCAGCTGCCCGAATTTCTGGTGACAGTGTCTATAAGCATCTGAAGTATGAAGGTGGGATTCACCGAGTTCAGCGAATCCCTGAAGTGGGCCTGTCGTCAAGGATGCAGCGCATTCACACAGGGACCATGTCCGTTATTGTCCTCCCTCAACCAGATGAGGTAACCTCACCCGGAGGCATTGAAAACTTACTCTGACTTAATGCGGTTGTGCTCAGAAAGCTTAGCTTCTAGCAAACTGATTTACTGATTTTCGGGGTTCCCCATTGAACTTCGCAGTCTCTACTAGGAAATTCTTTTTTTTTTTTTTTTTTTCAAAAAAGGAAACATCAAATTTAATTTAAAGGGAAAAAATCAGAAATTGTCTGAGAAAACAACAGAACAAATCAATTCCTGAAAAAGAGTTCTGCATCTTGGTGATCACATTTATTGAAAGGGTTGGGAAAAAATTAAAATGCCCTTTAGCTTAAGAAATTTTGAGTTATCCGCAAATCAACTCATTTCAGGAGTGGAAGAATCCTTGGTCATTTCTTAATATCAAAATTTACGCAGGTTTCTCTTTTGAATGTCTTCTACATTTAAAGAGGCAATCATACAAAAGCTCCTATATTCCATACATGATAAATTCTTTGTTTCAGCCAACTCTTAATGGAGGGGCAACTAGTACAACACCATCTCCCCGAACAAAAAGCATTGGAATATTCCGTTTTGTTGATTTATATATCTCTTCGTATAAAAATATAGGCAATATGGCTGTATTCAGGTTCTCATCAATTTCTTTAGTAGTCACAGTTTCTTCCACATCTCCCAATATATTTAAATGCTGATCATAAGCATGTAATCTGCCTCGAAGCTCTCTGTCATTTCTCATTTTCACATAAATTCGCTCATCCAGGCTGAGGTTGATGAGATCCAGGGGCTCTTCTACAGTGTTGGTAGTTTGTTGCTGGTCCACGTTGTCCACCATGTTTCAAACCCTGCGCCCTTTCCCCTCTACTAGGAAGTTCTTAACTCTTCCGCGGGTAAAGTTGCCCTTCTTATGCCTGACCAAGATATTTTATTTTGTTTGTTTAAATAGAAATCTATTCTCTTCATAAAATAGAATTCACAAAGCTTTTAAAATGTTGTTGCTTAAGTTTTATCTTAAGAAAAATATGATTTCCACAGATAATATGTTGGGGTCAATGATAGAATATCTGTATGGGGTCTATATCTTATTGAATACAGCCATATTGCCTATATTTTTTTTCCTAACTTTTTAAAATTTTATTTTAAACATACAGAAAATAGAATACCACACTAAAAACTTATATAACTTCCACCTGGAGTCAACAGCTGTTTACATTTTGCCACATTTGCTGGATTCCTATATGTGTGTGTATATATACGTTTGTTTAAATAACTAAAGACTATAGCAGACACTGTGAGACTTTATCCCTCAAATCTTCAACTTCACATCTCCTAAGAATAGGACATTCTTCTACCTAAACAATACCATTATCTGTCCATCAGCTGATGAACAGGTAAAGAAGTCATGGTGTATATACACAATGGAATATTACTCAGCCATCAAAAAGAATGAAATCTTGCCATTTGCAACGACATAGATGGAGCTAGAGAGTATTATGCTAAGTGAAAGAAGTCAGAGAAAGACAAATACCATATGATTTCACTCATATGTAGAGTTTAAGAAACAAAACATGAACATAGCAAGAAAGAGAGAGAGAGACAAACCATTCTTTAAAAGAGACTATTAACTACAGAGAACAAACTGAGGGTTGCTGGAGGGGAGGTGGTTGGGGAGTGGGCTAAGTGGGTGATGAGCATTAAGGAGGGCACTTGTATGATGAGCAGTGGATGTTGTATGTAAGTGATGAATCACAAATTCTACTGAAACTAATACTACATTATATCTTAACTGGAACTTAAAACTTAAAAAAAATAAATAAGTAAAATGGGTATAATACCTCCAACCCCATAATTTTTCTTTTTTTTTTTTAGGGGGTGGGTAAGAGCAGAGGGAGAGGGAGAGAGAGAGAATCTTAAGCAGACTCTATACCCAGTGCAGAACCCAACGTGAGGCTTGATCTCACAATGCTGAGATCATGACCTGAGCCGAAATCAAGAGTTGGACACTTAGCCAACTGAGCCACCCAAGTGCCCCAACCCCATAATTTTCTATAGGATTTAAATGCGCTTATTCCCAGGAACCAATAGATTGGAGACCTTTGTTATAATATCAATAATAAGATTGAAAAATTATTTGGAAAAAAACACCATTATCTGTGAAAATCAACCATAAGTCTGTAATATTATTGTCTAGGAAAAACTCCTGTGCTTCTGTCTACTCACAGAATACTTCTCCACTCTAAATGTGTCAAGTTTTTTCTCTCACCAAGCAAGTTCTTCAGTTGTGTGTGGACACCAAGTAGGTGTCCTACAGTTCAACTCAATTCTGACACCATCTCCTGGGGAATAGCATCAGACCCCACAGGCTAAGAGCTGGGCCTCACAAGACTTCCTCCCCTCCCACTTCAGAGGCCAGTCACAAGTCCAGGTTCTCACCTGTGTTTCCGACCAAGTGGCTATGAATTGAGAGGTTTCCACAACCCCCTCCTTGGGCTCAATAATTTACTAAAGCCAGATTATAGAACTCAGACTCCCCACTGAGTGTGGAGCCTGATGCAGGGCTCGCTCCCATGACCCTGAGATCATGACCTGAGCCAAAATCAGGAGTTGGATGCTCAACCGGCAGAGCCACCCAGGTGCCCCTCACCCTTTTTTTTTTAATGACATTAATTATTTGAAGAGTCTGGAGCCTTTGTCTTGTAAGGTATCCCACATTTTGGATTCATTTGTTTCCTGCTGGTACTCTTTAACTTGTTCCTGTATCGCATTCAGGTCACACATTTTGAGCAAGAATACTTATAGGTGTAGTCATATTCAAGTTGCATTTATCAGAAGGCACATAATATCAGATTTAGTGAAGATTAGTTTAAACATGGTGACCAAAAAACTGTCTCCATTGTAAAAGTATATTTTTGTCTTTGCAGTTACTGTGTAATCCTGAGGGTACATATAGCCTGTTTCCACATATAACCTGTTTCCACGATCTAAACATCCATTAGTGATCTTTTTTGCCTGAATCAGTTATTTCGTTGGGGATGGAAGATGGTGATTTTGTAACTCTGTCATTTCTTCTATGTTTATTAACTGGCATTCTTTTCTGTCAAGAACTTTCCTCCCTACTACCTTCTCTCCTCCTTCCTTCTTGCTTGCTTTCTCTTTTATTTTACCTTATCATAAACTCAATATTGTTCCATCTGTTGACCTCATTATAGACTTACACATTTGTTTTTTAAATTCTGTGAGTTAGAATCACTACTGTTTTTGATGTTCAACCTTGTCCCTGATTTGGCCAGTAGTAGCCTTTTGAGGGCAGTCCCTTTTGCAATGACCCCATCAATTTTTGAGCACATCCTTGCTTTCTGGTATAATTAGATATCCTAAGCCCACCTTCTGCTTTTGTGCCTCAGACTTGGAGTCAGATCTCATTTCTTTTGGTGAGAAATGTACCCAAAAATCAAGATCTAGGTCCTAGGTGTGCTCATTATTACTAAAGTGTGCTTATATTTAGATTCTTCAGTGGACAGAGCTAGGAGATACATATCATTTTAAATCACTGGTTCAAATTATGATTACCAACTCAAATTTAACATTACGGGAAGTTTTTCCCCCCTCACCATCTTGCATTTTGTATTTATATCTCTTTCCACTTAGAGTAAAAATTTTATTTCTTTTTTTTTTCAAAGATTTCATTTATTTATTTGACAGAGGGAGACACAGCGAGAGAGGGAACACAAGCAGGGGGAGTGGGAGAGGGAGAAGCAGGCTCCCCGCCGGGCAGGGAGCCCGATGCGGGGCTCGATCCCAGGACCCCGGGACCACGACCTGAGCCGAAGGCAGACGCGTAACGACTGAGCCACCCAGGCGCCTCAAAAATTTTATTTCTTAATCACATTAATATATTTACTTTTTTCCTTATTATATAGCATATATAAATAAATAATCTGTTTTAAAATTACTTAGTAAAAAAAAATAAAATAAAATAAAATTACTTAGTAAACTACTGAGTAATGTTTAAGATTGATTTCTGTACTTAGAACGTAGTCCACCAAGAAAGCATAGTCAGAACACGATGTTCAAAGACCATCTGAAATAGTGTTTTTCTATGTGATTATGATTCATTATGGTAAATATTTTGATTCATAGGTTTTCTTTTCTTTTTCTTTTCAATTTCCATTGAATATTAGGATTTGAATTTTCCTTCCTCTTTTATCTAATTTCATTTTTGGTGTATGGAAGCATTTATGTCACTCAGAAATCAAAGCTATTGGGTTGTCTTGCTTCCCTCTTTATTCCTTCCACTGTTCTCACCCATCCCCTTATTCTCTTCATGTTCTTGAAAATTAAACCCATGTGGTGGAGTTTGATTTTCACAAAAGAGCAAAGTCTTATTATTCTCTTAATTGACATTTAAAATTATTTTATATTATTAAGTCACTGTTTCTTTGTTGAGAATTTCCCAACAGTCATTAGATAGTTTCGATAACATTTGGGAGAATATGACATATAATATACATTTATTTGCTATATAACTTTCATATACTGAAACCACAAAAAATGGGAAATTGCTCTTGATCTCTTTAGTGTCTATTGAAATTTTAAGGTAGCCGACACTGGCATATTTTAACAAAAGCTGCATAATCTTTTTCTTCACAGTATAGTGCTCATTTTAGAGGAAACAAAAGAATAACCACGTTGTATATTGGATTCTAAAGCTGACCCTGTTATTACTGTGCTTTACAAAGAGAAGAGTCACACTTGCTATCTGTCATTCATAGGAATGAATGATAAATGTGAAATAAGATGTTAGTTCTCCCCTGAAAAACAGTGTATTTTGTAACCGTGTGTGGGTGTGTGGGTGTGTGTGTGTGTAACAAATTGCCACAAACATAGGGGCTTAAAACAGTAAAAATTTATTGTCTCACAGTTCTAGAGGCCAGGAGTCCAAATTCAAGGTATCGCCAGGGCTGTGCTCCCTCCAAAGCTTCTGGTGGGGAATGCTCCCTTGACTCTCCCAGTTTCTGGTGTCTCCAGGTGTCCGTTGGCTTGAAGCTGTATAACTCTGAATGCACATGTTCATCTCCTCTTATCTCTCCTCTGGCTGTCTGAGGACACTTCTCATTGGATTTAGGGCCTATGTGAATAATCCAGGATGATCTCATCTGAACTCAATTACAGCTGTAACAACTCTTTTTCCAAATAATGTTCTAGTAGTTAGAATGTGAACATATCTTTTTGGATGCCTCCATTCAGTCCCACTAATAGTCGGTTCTCATTGTTCACAGTGGTTATGTTCTGTAAAGACTCAGCGAACACTGATTTAGCAAATACTGAACTATCATTTCCCCTAGGGGAAATGTGTGTGTGTGTGTATGTGTGTGCACACTCAGGTATACATATGTTTATATACCTATATATATTTCTGTATCTATGTATCGCAGGTAGATCTTAAAAGTGACCTATCCAAATAAATAAATAAAATTTAAAAACCGAAAAAAGTAACCCATCCTAGTTACTTAGAATAGATTCTATTTTCTTTATTTTACAAAGAGAAAATGAGGTTCAGAAGTGTTTAGGTGACTTACCTGAGGCCACTTCACTACCAGATGCCAGAACTAGGGTTCACACCCCATCCAGCTGACCCAAGAGCCAGAGCTTCTTGTACTATGCTGCTCTGCCCCCTCTTGTCTTCATTCTCTGATCAGACTGAAAAAAGAAAGCAAACTGTCACCTTGTTGGACGTCAGCTGGGAATGTGCACCTTGGATTTTTTGCTGCCCTGCACCTGTTCGCTAGTAATTGTGAAAATGCTGCAATAATTGATTTTGAGGAACAAATAAAGTAGGTGAATTTGCAAATACAGAATTGGGGAATAATGTATACATTATACACACACACACACATACACATATACATATATATATAGAGAGAGAGAGTATATTTTCTATCCTGTGGCTTTGTGGGATGATGGATGATGAAACTTGAAAGATTGCATAACTCAGTGATCTTCTAGCATCAAAAAATAGCATCCATTGGAATAGGGAGTTTACGGTTCTTTCATTGGTAGAAGCTATTTCTTAGTCTAATGGCTATGACTTAGAACAAAACAGCACAGTTTATTCGAAAAATCTTGAAATAAATTTAGTATTGAAGTATTTGTTGGGACGCCTGGGTGGCTCAGTCAGTTAAGCGTCTGCCTTCGGCTCAGGTCATGATCCCAGGGTCCTGGAATCGCATCCCACACCGCTCCCTGCTCAGCGGGGAGCCTGCTTCTCCCTCTGCCTGCCACTCCCCCTGCTTGTGCTCTCTCTCTCTGACAAATAAATTATAAAAATCTTTAAAAAAAAAAAGTGTTTGTTGAGTGTAGAATTGACTTCCATTGTCCCTTCTGTTCTAGGTAGATGTGAAGGTGGACCCCAAGGATTTGCGAATAGATACATTTCGAGCCAAAGGAGCAGGAGGGCAGCATGTTAATACAACTGATAGCGCTGTCAGACTTGTCCATATCCCCACAGGTAATCAAGTCTGTTTGCTTTTGTACTTTGGACCTGTTTTTACGTCTTATAAAACTATTCAACATTGAGGGTACCTGGGTGGTTCAGTCGTTAAGCGTCTGCTTTCGGCTCAGGTCATGATCCCAGGGTTCTGGGATCGAGCCTGGCATCGGGCTTCCTGCTGACGGGAAGCCCGCTTCTCCCTCTCCCACTCCCCCTGCTTGTGTTCCCTCTCTTGCTGTGTCTCTCTCTGTCAAATAAATAAAATCTTAAAAAAAAAAAAAAAAACTATTCAACATTGAGAAGAAAATAGTTTTATGTTACTGTCTTGTTTCTTGCACAAACCCTTTAAAAGGTGACACTGGAGTCGTGGGTCTGCAGTCCCCAGTGTGTTCATATTCCACTTCTGTTTGGAAAAGGCACCTCTCTTAAAGGATGCAGACACTGAGTGGACCCAATCAGAGAAGCTGCCCAGGTATACTGGACAGCGGTGAGCAACCAGAGGTGCCCCAGCCTAAAAACAAACACGAAAACAGTCCTGGACATGCACCTGCAATGGAGCTTCTGTCCTCTTACAGACTGACCACTAGATCCACTGTTCTGTGTTGCATTGATGCTGTTATTTTGAATATTGGTAATTTTGGTATACTCTGAGGTAGTTTTGCAGCCCTTACTGTGATTTTAAATACTTCTATCATTTTTCAGATTTTATTTATTTTTTTTTAAATTTTATTTATTTATTTATTTATTTGAGAGAGATAGAGAGAGCAAGAGCAAGGAGGAGAGGAAGAGGGAGAGAAAGAAGCAGACTCCCTGCTGAGCAGGGAGCCTGACGTGGGGCTCGATCCCAGGACCCTGGGATCACGACCCAAGCTGAAGGCAGACGCTTAACCAACTGAGCCACCCAAGTGCCCCCATTTTTCAGATCTTAAACTAAATTTTAAGCTTTTAAAATTTCTTTCCCTTTTAAAATTATTTTTTATGTTATTAAATATTAAATGGTTTTAAAGGCCAGTGGGAAAGTCCTCTAACAAAAACCAGCAGCTCCTTGCCCCTCTCTTTCCTCCCTCTCCCTCCTTCCTTGCCCCTAAAGCCCCATTACCCACAGGCAGCCAGTTTAAACTCTTAGCTATTTTTTCTGGTAATTACCTCATATTAGGCAGATCATGCTCTTCTGATCAATTAGTTATAAGATTACATACATACTGACATCTTAATGTAGTAGATGAATGTAGTAGGCTCTCATAATATCATTTTTCACCAAAAATGAGGTGATAATCTTTGTAACTTACCATAATTTACCTAAGAAATCCACAAATTTTTGGATACTTAGTGTGCTTTACCTCAGCCTTGTATTGCGGGATACTGTTCTCTGTTATAAACTGTCCAGAATAGTAATAATGAGCTGAAGCTGAATTAAAAATTAAAATGAGAAAAAGTCAGGTAAAAGTGATAAAAATTCTGACAAGAATGAACCAAAATATTTTAAAACCTATGCCCTTGTGCAGCCATAAATTACTGACTTTACAAAAAATGACCGATGTTTTTGTTGCCAAGCTTACCTTGTGCCAAATTAGTTTTTAGCCACTTAGATCTAGTTCTTTGATTTAAAAGCCTTAGGACTTACCCTCAAACCTTCCCTTAGGCAATGCATTACAAGGCCTACTGACTTCTATGAATCCATGGTGTTATGAGCAAGTGATTTCTTGGGTCAACCGTGTACTTTGAGGTGTACCGTGATTTCAGCATCTGTTGCAAAGAAAACTCAGCCTTTCCTCTAATCTGTCCATTCCACGACCCTTAGAATGGGAACTGTGTCCCTGCTAGACTTCAAAGTGAGAGCTATAGGTCATTCTTCCATTACCCTCTTGCACATGGATTCTGAAGACTCACATTTTTTTCTAACCCACTGCTTCTATAGAACTCCATTTTTCAACCATTGGAAGAGTAGTACCATAGGGGTATGGTTAAATGTTTGTTCAAGGAAAAGTTACTTTTTTTTGTAAAATTTATCAAATCAAGATGAAGACATGAATATTTTGTGCTTTAAAGCAAGCTTTTTAGTTTCTTACCAGTTAGTGAAAGTGGGCCTCTGTAATTGTTACACTGTATTACTTCATCATCATAGATTATGGATAATACCTAATTCTTCCATATTTTGCACTTTTAAGATTACAGGATTTTTATTAAACCTATGATTATGTATAATTTATTTCATCTAATCTAAGAACTCATTAACTGAATGACACATCACTATTTTGTTACTATGAAGAAATATAAAAAACACTACCAATTAAGCTATCGTATGCCAGTGAGGGTAAGATGCCTCTCAAGTTCAGAGATGTTCATTTTTTTAAATGGGCTATTTAGAATAAAATATGGTATATTTGTTTTCATTTATAATTGATAATCTTTTAAATAATAAATGTAGTTCTTTAGCAAATATATATTAAATACCCACTTGGTCCAATTGCTACCTGGAATTTTGGAATCTCCCATAGAGTATTGAAAACAACACTGAGAAAAGTTTGTTTTTTTTTTTTAAAGCCCTTTTAGAGTTTTTTAACAACCCTAGCATCTTATTTCAACAGCTCTTCTATTATTCAGATTACCTCCCTCTACCCTAATCCTCTATTCCTAAGGGAATACTTAATGATTAAATACTCCTCTATAGAAAGTATATTAAAATATATGATTAAGTGATTCTCTTGGAAATTACTGAACTGGTAAGTAAGAGTTTTAAGCTAAAAATTCTGACCTGAGCCACTGGATAGGAATAGTGCCAATGTATAAGCTAAGCTTACTGCCGGTCAGCTGAGAAGAGGAATTTGGAGGAAAGCTTATGAATGTCTAGCCATCTTGAAATGGATATTTTCATATCCTTTTGGGTGGTGAAAAAAGAATAGCAGATCCAAGACAGCTCCAGACAAATGCCTTAAGATGAAAGCAAGTGCCCCAGCCCACGTGGCTGCAATAAAGCAGTCAACAATAAACTAATGGGGCACCTGGGTGGCCCAGCCGTTAAGCGTCTGCCTTCGGCTCAGGTCATGATTCCAGGGTCCTGGGATCAAGCCCCACATCAGGCTCCCTGCTCCACGGGAAGCCTGCTTCTCCCTCTCCCACTCCCCATGCTTGTGTTCCCTCTCTCGCTGTGTCTCTATCAAATAAATAAATAAAATCTTAAAAAAAGAATAAACTAATAGACTGATGAATCACAGACGTGTACCCCTGAAACAAATAATACATTATACGTTAATAATTAAATAAAAAACTATATAAAACAGCAATAATAATATCTTGGATGGTTAAAATAAAAAGATACTAAAATTAAAAAAAAAGAATAAACTAATAGAGGTGAAACCTAGGTGTTCCTACTAAAAGTATTAGCAGGTGTAGACTGTAGCTTATTTAGACAGGGTGAAAACATAATTTGGAAAGTAGAATTTTGTTTTGTTTTGGGACAGTAGAATTTTATAGAAATTTTTTAAATCTCCACCAAAATAGTTGCCACTATATCAGTTCAGCTGGCCTAAGCGAATATGGTTTTTGGGTTTTGTGGTTCAGAAAGAAAAGTACTTTTCACCTGTAATGTACCTGAGAGCAGGATTGGACATAGACCTTTAGAGTGGTAGGTGCAAAGTTAAGAACAGTGCAGCCTAAAGTTTCAAGAGTCACTATGTCAGGTCTAGATTTGGGCTAGTAACCGGGCTACACAGTGGGCAAAACCCACCCAAATCCAGAAGTTGGCTAACAAAAACATGTATGATTAGATGTGGAATTAGCTGAATTTAGAGCCAGGACAACTGAGAAACATTCACTCTAAACTCCTCCTTATAAAGAGTTTAGTTTCTTTTCATTGGTTTCTATACACGACAACAATATATACAACATCTATATATTGACCCTTGAACAACATGGAAATTAGGGGTGCTAAACCCTCCAACCCCTTGCAGTCAAAAATACACATAATAACTTTTGATTACCTCAAAACTTAACTACTAATAGCCTACCGTTGACCAGAAAGAAACCTTACCAATGTCATAAACAGTGATTAACACAGATTTTGTGTTGCATGTATTATATACTGCATTCTTTTTTTTTAAGTTTTTTTAAATTTTATTTATTTTTTGAGAGAGAGAGAGGCAGGCAGAGGGAGAAGCAGGCTCCCCGCTGAGCAAGGAGCCCAATGCAGGACTCAATCCCAGGACTCTGGCATCATAACCTGAGCTGAAGGCTGATGCTTAACTGACTGAGCCACCCAGGCGTCCCTATATACTACATTCTTATAATAAATTAAGCTAGAGAAAAGAAAATGTTACTAAGAAAATCAAAAGGAAGGAGGCACCTCTTATTATCACAATAACTGTACTCTTAATCCCCATCACCTACCTCCCCTCTGGTAACCACCATTTCGTTCTATATATTTAAGAGTCTGGGTTTTTTGGGGTTTTTTTTAAAGATTTTATTTATTTTTTTGACAGAGAGAGACACATCGAGAGAGGGAACACAAGCAGGGGGAGTGGTAGAGGGAGAAGCAGGCTTCCCGCCGAGCAGGGAGCCTGATGTGGGGCTCGATCCTAGGACCCTGGGATCATGACCTGAGCCAAAGGCAGACGCTTAACGACTGAGCCACCCAGGCGGCCCAAGAGTCTGTTTTTTCATCTCCATATTTCTTTGTGTGTTTGTTTTGTTTCTTAAATTCCACATATGAATGAAATCATTGGTATTTGTCTTTCTCTAGCTGACATTTCACTTACCATTATGCCCTCTACATTCCATGTTATTGCAAATGGCAAGATTTCATTCTTTTTTTAATTCTTTTTTTACTGCTGAGTAATATGCCAGTACGGATATATTATATATATAAATATATTTTTTTCTTTTTCAAGTTTTTATTTACATTCTAGTTAAGATATAGTGTAATATTGGTTTCAGGAGTACAATTTAGTAATTCATCACTTACATATAACACCCAGTGCTCATCACAAGTGCCCTCCTTAATGCCCATCACCCATTTAGCC